AGTCGTGCATGCCGTAGTCGTTAGACCAGTGACCTCGCATCCCTGCACAGTCGGGACGGAGCACGCCGGGTTCTCACCGGATCAGGCTCTCACGTCACCACGCGCGAAGCGCCGTGAGATATTCGGCGAGTCGCATGAAGGGTGCGCTGCATCCTGCTAAGGGTGTTCAGCATCTTGTGCTGACTTCCTTGCGTACGGATGACAGCTGCGTATGACATAGTTTATTTTCTGGTGCTTTCACTTCACACAGTTGTAAGTAGTGTGGAACTGCGTCGAGGGTGCTCGACCATTTTGACACAACGTGGTGTGATCATCCCCCTTGCGCGGAATGAGGGTTCACCACCCCGCACAACATGATCTACTCGACCACCATTATGGNTGACTTCCTTGCGTACGGATGACAGCTGCGTATGACATAGTTTATTTTCTGGTGCTTTCACTTCACACAGTTGTAAGTAGTGTGGAACTGCGTCGAGGGTGCTCGACCATTTTGACACAACGTGGTGTGATCATCCCCCTTGCGCGGAATGAGGGTTCACCACCCCGCACAACATGATCTACTCGACCACCATTATGGTTACCACCAAAAAAAAACAGAGGTAAGAAAAAAGGCGGTAGATTCTACCCCGCTTTAAGGACGCTCGCGTTGAGTAAACTCCCCGCTTTAAGGAAACTTGTGTTGCTCAGCACCAGGGGACCCGGCCGAATATACGATGATGGGGTGCCCCCATTTTTCTGCCGCGTACCCCCCTTTTGTGTACTGCGGGCCTGCGGGCCGCTCTTTGCACGAACCACGCACCACAGTGAGTGCAGAAGTAGCGACGCACAGACAGCAGAAGTAGCGAGCGGTCTGGTGCTGCAGCTGTAACAGGGTGTTGGTATGGATAGATTCCTCCCATCTACCGGCGGTCCATCTGATGCCGCCGAAAGAAAGTCGTGCGTAACCTCGTCCCTCACCGAGGGCAAGGTTACCTCTCGCTTGGAGGATGTTCGATCCTACTGATAGCGCCCGCAGCTAAGAAACGTCAAAATCGGATCGAGCCTCAATCCCTCCTTTTGGGTCGAAGTACCGGCCCAAGTCGTCCATTTTCGTAAATGGCAGTTCTTCGCATCCTCCCGATTCTCTTATTCCATAGACTACAACAAGTACCTCGTACTTTCTTTTTTCTGTTTTGTGATATCTGAGGACAATCCACATCATCCAGCCCTCAAGAGAGGTGGTGGAGAGTGCCATCAAACCCTACAACAGCGGAGGGCATATGGTTGTCCGCGATGTGTGGCAGTACTACAGTACAGCACTCACTGTGAACAGCAGGGGCGCGGGGGGGCGGGGGGTCTCTGGCCCTTGCAAAAAAATGCACTTCTGTTCAGCTTCGGAGGGGGGTGGGAGCACCGCAGATTTATGATGTTTCTTATTGAGGCGTTTCTTACGTTGTGGCCGAGATTGAGATATGTTTCTTAGCCCTTTTTCTTATTTTTCGTACAAACTTGAGCCTTTTTTCTTACAAAATTTTTCTTAACTGCGGGCGCTATCTGTATTTGTTCGCGAAGGGAAGGGGTGGCGAGTACCGTGAGACGCAGTACCTTCTTTCGAAGACCGTTCATTGTTTTACTCATGAAACTCAACAGAGCCGTAGAGCCAAGCCGCGGGGGGTAGGAAGTTCAGGGAACTCTTCGCGATATATATGTGGAAGTTTAAGCCATCCAGGTAGTTTTTGGTCTCCGCCGGGACAGTGATATGTACTGGTGTTCCTCCGTGCGACGCTGGAATACGCTCGTTTTTTTTTGTGTTTCACGAGAATGAGATAAATATATGTCTACTTGGACTTTCCTCCTCCTTCCGCTGCCGGGGATGCAGTACCATTTTAGTTGGCCAAGTACAGACAGGTGTGCTGTAGTTGTTTTCAACACGTCCCCGACTGCTGTAAATCTCATTTTAAGCATTGTAAATATGTTCGACGTCAACAAACGGTTGCCCGTCGTCTCGGTGATGCTGACTTCTCGTACCACCCCCTTCCTTAGCAAAAGATGCGTAGTTTGTGGTAAAGCATGGCTCCATTGGCCCCGGGGATGGTGAGCTATCGTCCCCTGAATTTTAAGGACGCAACCCCGCTTTAAGGACGCTTTTGTTTCTGGAAAAACCATGTGCGTCCTTAAAGCGGGGTCGATTGTAACCTGGTTGTCGAGCTCACGAAACGGCTTGTTTTACAACATCGCTGCCAAGCGACTAAAACCCAACCCGATGGCAAACACCGGGGGGGAGAGGGGTACTCATGGTCGTGCATGCCGAAGTCGTAAGACCACTGACCTCGCATCCCTACAATGACGAGACGGAGCTATACGCAAGGTTTTCGCCGGCCCAGGGGTAGGGGGTTGCAAGGAGAGCAGATCAGGCTGGGTGGTGGCTTGAGAGTTTGATCGATCGAAAAATTCCAATCAAAAGTAGGGAAATCACGTCGCAAAAAAACTGGAACGGGGTGAGGTTGGTTTTCCGAAGCCTAGGATTCGCAAAGTGATCAGCGAGAATGTCCTCCGCATCTCAGCCGCAGCAGTATTTAGACGCCACGTTCTAACCAAACTCGGAAAACAAAACATGCGTCATCAAACAACACCTCCGCCATAAAAATCTCGAAAACATGCAAAAGCATCCTCTTCGACTACTGTGGTTGCAACTCGAACGATTTTTTTTTCTTTTGAGTGTACGAATAGTTCCTACAAACAAAAACAAGGGGTCTCTCTCATAATCATCATCAGCACCACCACGGCAGTTAAAGCTCACCCGGACGTTGTTCAGCAAGGGCCTGAGCTTGTCCCTCACAGCGTCCCTCGTCTTGTCCGCCGTGCCGAAGGCGGAGCTACTGTGGGCCCCGACCATCCCCTGCCGCCGCCCTTCCGTGGCCATGCCGCTTGAGACGCCTCCCCCGCCTCCGCCTCCGGCGCCGCCGCTGGTGAGCGAAGACAGCCCGCTCGTGCTCACGCTCTTGGTCATGCCGCCGGCCCGCGTCTTCTTGCCCAGCCCCTGGTCGAGAGAGAGCGTGCGGAAGTGAAGGAACCGCGCGGGAGGAAAGAGTCAGCGACTACACCGTAGGTGACCGAAGTTACCACACACACACACACACACACACACACACACCCTTGCCTATTGTCCAAGCTAGCTTACTCCATAGCAAAAGATGGCGGCGTTAGAACCGTTGATGGAGCGAGCTTTCCGGGAAAACATCATGTGATTTTCGTTGTCTTCGTTGGCGTTGAGTATTAAAGCGTTGAAACTCAGTCCAGGGTGAGTGATATCTTACGCCAGCGACTGCTGCCGTGCGCGGCCGCGTGCAAGGACGAGTGCTACAATACACGTTTCCTACCCACCCCAACATTTTCATCGCCGACGCGCAAACATAACGCAAATGTCGACCGTCCACGGCCGGGAAACACACACTTGCAATATGACGAAGAAGCTTGCGGGGGGGGGGGATCGAACACCAACACCAACGACGACAACAAACCAACACCAACAATACCAGCACCAGCAACAAAACAAAGAACCAATTCTCCCTCGTGCTCACCTGGCCGAAGCCTGACCCCGCGCCGGGGCCCGCATTTCCCCCTCCGTCCTTGGGCAGAGGCGACGCCTTGCGCTTCGGCAAGGCGTGGTGGAGCGAGGACACGATAGCCGTCGTGTCCGCCACGATGGACTTGAGGTTCCTAAGCTTGAGATGATGCATGGCCTTACCTCCGTTGATGAACTGGTTGAACACCTGCCCATCCGTGTAAAAGATGACCGCACGTATATCCTTGGCGTGTTAGCAGAGTCGGTGCGCGTGTGTGCTTGGAGGCAACGCTCGTGTGCCGTTGAACGAAGGTTGCAATACGCGTGTTTTTGCAATAGACATAACATCCTCACACCCTCGAAGTTGCCATATCATACTGCATACCCTGTTGGGTGTTTTCGTAAGTCGTTCTTCCATAGTCGTGCGGCTTGGCAGAATACGAAACGATGAAAAGTCACTCCAGGTCTGATCGTCGAGACAACTCTACGCGTGCATGGCGGCGACCACATCAGAGGCGAGAGAGATGCTGCTGCGTGACAAAGTAGCTGACGACACCGACTTTCATTTCGAACATCAAAAAAGGTGGGCACACACAAGCACGGAACACAAGGCCAACAACCACCGTGTACCAGCGACGCCGCCGAAGACCACCAACACCAAGACCCCCCTCCCCCCCCCAAAAAAAAACCACACGCACAATTCGGAGAATGTCTGGGCCTCCCCCTCACGGGGTCCCAGTTCATGGCAGATACTGCTGTACAAGTGTTGTGTGTTTTCAACCGTACTGAGACTGACGTCTTTTCATTTGTCAGTCGGTTAGCGCGGTCGATGCTAATAACAAAGACACACACACACCTGCACCGTCCGTGCCATGTCGTTCCCGTGCTGAGGCCCCAGCAGCTGCCGCATGAGCCAGATGCCCAGCTCCCACACCTCGCTCAGGGCTTCCGCAACGGTCACGTCCGTCGAGATGGCGCGGCGAAGGGCCGACTCGTGCTGCATCCGTCTCGCGAGGTCCTCCTCCGACTCGTACAGCGCCACGTGCTCGTCGAACATGCTCAGCGCCAGCTCCACGCTTCCCGCTGTCTGGAAGATTGGCAGGTACACCTGCGACGGGAGGAGGAGGNGGGGGGGGGGGGGGGGGGGGGGGGGGGGGGGGGGGGGGGGGGTACTCATGTTAGATGTTAGCGCATACCGTCGTCGGTAGGCGACGCAATGCCGTGATGGAGCGATATGTCGGGTTTTCGCCTGCCCAGGGGGGAGCTCTCGTAAAGACACCCAAAAGGAGTTGCTGGCGTGGTCGGCGGTCAAAACCAGGGTGCGCAGAAGAAAAAAAAAAAGAATATACCGGTACTGCTGTAGCCTCTCCTTCCACTCTTGAATACGCACGTGCGGACAAAGCTTCATCTTGTACGCGGCAAAAACACAACAACGGCGTTGCCGCCAAAAATGACAAGGCATTGTAAAGCTCACCGGCTTGGCGAAGCCCGCGAAGGAGTGGAACTTGAGGATACCCTGCTCCGCGTTACTGATGACGTCGCTGTAGCGCATGTTGTTGATCACCTCGTTCCACACAGCGGCGAAGGTCGCCCACTTCTGTGTGCGGAGGTCCAGGAACTCCCTCACGAACTCCCGGGGGTGGTTGTTCTGCCGGCGGCCATTGGGCACGCTCGCCGCTGTTGATCCGCCGCCGACCGTCGTCACCGTCCAGAGGAGAGAAGCCGAAACGTTGCGACGATCGACAGGGAGGTTGTCT